GTCTTGAGATTTGAGGAATAGCTGTATGGACAGCTCTTAGGACTGTAGTTGTAAAACATTGTATCATTTCTGAAATGGATAAGAGGGAGGATGGAGGGATATGAATAGCATAGAGTGAAGTGAAAGTAGGCTGGTCAGCTCTATCAAAGCACCAGCGTGGCGAGTTAGAAAGTGGTACATATGAAGTAGGAGAAAGGAGAACTGGAATGTGGTCATTATAGGGAAAGTGGTCTAGAACTGACCAGTGGAAATCTAAATGAAGAGAAGGAGAGCATAGAGAGAGGTCTATGCATGAAAAAGATTGTGTGCGTGTATCAAAATGTGAGGGGCAATCTGAATTTAGGATAATAGGGTCAGCTGTGGAGAGGAAGCGCTCTAGAGATCGGCCACGGGAGTGTGGCGGAAGTTAAAATCACCTACTATGAGGAAAGGTGGTTGAAGTTGGGAAATTAGATTTTCAAAAGCAACAAAGTCAATGGGGTGGGAAGGGGAGAAGTAGACTGAAATCCCTGTGATCCAGAGGCGAAGAAAGATACGAATAACTGCAAGCGACAGTGGTTTGAAAGGGAGGTGTGACATAAGGCGTTTTCTGATTGATAAGTACGGACGAGACAAAGGGAGTGTGGGGAAGATGGTAATTGGGGATTGGTATTGGGGGATGTGTAAGAAAAGTCTTCTGAAGGCACATAATGGATGGGTTACAAAAGGAAAGGATATGACGAAGGTCGGGTCTGTGAGAGCGGAAACCGCGAATATTCCAATTTAGAATAGTTATACTTTCGTTGATTTAGTGATAAAGACTAATACGTGTTGGAGGATTTAAAAAGGAAGGAGCTAGAGGGTGGGATACAGAATGAGAGGGGGGAGGTGGGGAAGGTGGTGGTGTATCAGGAGGGGTATTAGGAGGTGGATTGATCGATTGATTATTTAAAATTATCTGCCGCGTCAACATCTAAGGTCATTAGCGGCGAATACCTTGTTAGGATGAACTATTTGAATATTTAAAATGTTTTAGAATATTTAAAGTGTAAAAAATCTATGAATGTCTTATAATAATAAATATATTAAAAGCAAAGCATAAACATTATGCTCCATATAATATGATGATTACATAAATATTATGTATAATTAAATTTTATTGAAAATATTGGTCTCCCTGAGGAAACAAACTAAACCTTCTATGTCACAATCTTCCCCCAATACATTTTTCAGTGTATATGGGGGAGACAAGTACATGCGTCTTTGGTCTGAGAATGTTGCACATCTTTCCATTACATGTGCGACCGTTAATGGTTCTTGGCATTCTTCACAGCGTGCTTCACTTCTAGCCATCATAGGCCCATGAGTCAGTCTTGTGTGCCCGATTCTTAGCCTCTTCAACACAACTTCCACTTGTCGGTTGGGATGGATGCTGGTCGACCAACTTCCAAGATCATCTCTAATTTCTCGCAGTTTGTTTCTAGAGGTACGTCTCCACTGTTCCATCCATTTATTTCGAAGACAACTCCTGATGCTGGATTTCAAGTCAGTGTGTGGGAGAGGAAAACGCGCATCACAGGGCTGAGCGGCAGCTGCCTTGGCCTTCTGATCAGCTCGCTCATTCCCTCTTATGCCAACATGCACTGGCACCCAACACAGAGTTATCTTTTTACGTGCAGACATCAGTGCAAGCCAGTCTTGAATCTTCCTCACCACTGGATGTGATGAGTTTAAGCTCTTGATTGCTTGCAAAGCACAACGAGAGTCACAGTATATTACAATTGAATGGTTCGGAGAATATCTGGTCATCTTGACTGCTGCAAGTATGGCATGTAACTCTGCAGTGAAGATCGAGGCTGTTAGAGAAACACTGCCAGATGCAGTCTTCCTTCTGCTCACTGCTGCAAAACCCACACCATTTTCAGATTTCGAACCATCTGTATATAATGTATCCGATCCCTGGTACTTGGAAGCGTGTTGAAGAAATTTCCCTCTTACTTGATTGGTCCAAGGGGGAAATTGGGGAGTTCCAACAGCCAGAATCATAGCGAGATTTAAATTAAGATCTTCCACAAGACACTTCATTCTCCTACCATAGGATCGGCTATCCTCAAGGGGGTTAAAAACCAGATCCTGGAATCCTTTGCAGTCTCGTGTAGTAAATCAGGTTCATATAGTCCCGATGAAATGATAGAGGTGGTTCTCCACTCTCAGCATACAGGGATTCCACAGGAGAAGACCTGAAAGCCCCTATACAGATTCTGATGGCTTCATTATGAACGTGGCGGAAGTTAAAATCACCTACTATGAGGAAAGGTGGTTAAAGTTGGGAAATTAGATTTTCAAAAGCAACAAAGTCAATGTGGTGGGAAGGGGAGAAGTAGACTGAAATCCCTGTGATCCAGAGGCGAAGAAAGATACGAATAATTGTGCAAGGGACAGTGGTTTGAAAGGGAGGTATGACATAAGGAGTTTTCTGATTGATAAGTACGGACGAGACAAAGGGAGTGTGGGAAAGATGGTAATTGGGGGATGTGTAAGAAAAGTTTCCTGAAGGCATATAATGGATGGGTTACAAAAGGAAAGGATATGACGATGGTCGGGTCTGTGAGAGCGGAAACCGCGAATATTCCATTTTAGAATAGTTATACTTTCGTTGATTTAATGATAAAGACTGGGATACAGAATGAGAGGGGGGAGGTGAGGAAGGTGGTGGTGTATCAGGAGGGGTATTAGGAGGTGGAGGGTCTGAGGAAGGGGATACTTGTGATACAAGGGATTCACATGTGTATCCAGAAGGGAGTGGAAGGGATAGAGGGGATGGTGGCAGGATGGTGGTGGGAGTCGGGGGGATGGGAGGGGGTAGGAGGGATATCGTTAGTCACTGAGTGTGGAGGGAGCGGTAGTTGTAGAATTGGAAGGTTGATGAGTGTCAGTTTTGATTAAGTAGTCGAATATTTTCAAGAGTTTCTTCAATGGAGTTGGTTGGGGAGTTTTGTGAGATAAAGGATTTCTTGTGATGAGTGGAAGAGAAGACTAGTGTCTCAAGAGTAGGGGCAAAGGAAGGTGGAGGTGATTGTGTGGTAGGGGAAGAGGGGATGGAACGTTTATTCTGTCCATTGCGGGTAGTGCAGGGAGGAGAGGGGAAGGTGGGGGGGTTGTAGTGGAGATTGGAGTGTCTGGATTTAGAATGGCAAAAGAATTTGACTGGGGAAGGTAGGAGGTAGAAGAGGGGAAGTAAGATGGAGGGGGGGGGGGGTAGGTTTAGGAGAGGGTGTAGGAGCTTAGGAGGTAGGGGAAGTGGTAGAATGAGCAATATTACTGGAGTAGGGATTAGGGAAAAACCTCGTCGACATGCTTCCTGTCCAGGTCTGAATCTGAGAGTTGCTACCTCACTCAAATTTGTAGGTGGGACAGCCCCAATAAAATACATTATGGGGGCCGCCACAGTTGGCACATGTGCGTGATTGTGCAGAGCAGTTAGATCGGGCATGGCCAGGTTGGGCACATAGTGGGCATCTGGCTGTGGAACGGCAATGTTTGGCTGGGTGTCCTAGTCGCCAACAATTTTGGCACTGACGTGGAGGAGGTTGGTATGGACGAACAGGGAGGGATTCTCCTCCTATGTAGACGTTAAAGGGAAGGTCATGTCTATGGAAGGTAATTTTGGCTATGTTAGTGGGTTTCTTTCGATGACCTCTGGGGGGAATGGAGTAGCATTGTACTGATGTTGCATCATAGTCTGAGACAGGCAAGTAGGTCTTCTCCACAGTCTGACCAATCTTTGACATAGATTGGGCAATTTGCTGGGGAGATTGAGACTGTTCCAGTGCAAGTATTGAGGGTTGGATGGGGTTACCATATAGGTCAGTTTTGTTAATGCTATGGCTTGGTTTTCGGATGTTACTGTTACAAGACGGGAGCGGTCTGGTCGGCTACGGAAAGAAAGAGACTTTACCTACTTGTTTTTGGAGGCATTGTTGGAAGAGAAGGGTGTTGTCAGAGTAGGGAGCTGTGGGAGGGATCACGAAAAATCGGTCCCATTTGGCTGCACTGAAGAGAGTATCCAAGATTGTTTTAGAGATAGGGGGTAGAAGGGCGGGGGCGTGACGAAGATGGAGTAGTGTTGAGGGAGGTAGTGTTATGGAGAGGTGGGCTATAAGGCTGTAAGGCATTTATAAGGGAGGATGGGGTAGTTGATGTTGGAGGTTGTGGGGGCAGAGGTGTTGAAGTTGAGCATGCTGGGAGAGTGGTAATGTTCCTTGAGGGTCGATTGTTGGCTACTGTACTAGTAGGCATATGGGGGGGGGGGGTGTTATTGCAGTGTTCAGAGCCGTGGTCAAAGGAGAGCCTGGGGTCAGGGAATCGGGTGGGTTTACTTCGTTGGGGCCATTTGATAAAGGGGCAGGCCTCACTGCCCCTAATAGAGGGGATATATTTTCATTACTGGCCATGGTAAGCCTGGATTATGTTGGGGATAAAAACAGTCCACCCCCTCAGGGCACCCCTCAGGGTCCCCTTGAGGGGTAAGGGCTAGACAACTAAAGGCCTACCCACTAGTCGGCAGGCTTCGTAGGCCATTGCAAGGGTCGATACTCAGGTACATGATAAAAGGTCAGTTCTTTGAGTTTCTGCCAGCTATTTAAAATTAGCCTCACTTGTAAGTAGTCTGTGCAACCCTCTTGCAGAGGAGTGCTGAAGCCTTACTGTACATTACTGCATACATTTAAATGCATATGTGGTTCAATAACACGTTTTCATACCATTTTAAAGGGCAAAATTATAAATAACTGGAAGTACCAAGCTAAGCCTTGTTAAAATTAAACCAAGAAAACCTAATTATAAAGCTTAACAAATTACCATTTTAGAAATTAAAACTTGGTGCAGTAAGTATTATGAACAAGTAGAGTTCAGTAGTCTATATAATGCATTGGAGTCCAAGTAGACCCTTTATTGCCCTTTAGGTAATAGTTGAAGTGGTATCGTGGTAGTTATATAAATTAAGACATGGAAAGGTAAAATTCACATTCTAAAATAATTTATTTAAAATAAAACAATCCAAACTCTCAACCATCTTCCACTTAATTACAGGGTTTTTTCAGGACCCATCTCACAGAAGGTTCACCATTAGACGAGTAGCTCTCAGGCTGTCCAGGCTCACCCTGTGCTAGAAGCCCATCCAGAGATCCTCTTTCAGTGAAAGTAAAGAGGCTTTTTGTGCTTATTCCTGAAGTATTCAGGACTTGGTCCTTCAGGTGCTGTGGTAAGTCATCAAACATGGCTTGGGGGACACCCTCTGTCGATTTAAAGAGTTACATTTAATACAGTCTTGTAGGCTAGTTTCTAGATGCATAGGGTACTGCATTCTTCACATAACCAGAAAATTCCAAGCCAATCTAGAAACCTGCATTTAAGGGCTACGTTACTTTAAAAGATTTCTACTTGCTCATAAGACCATGCAGGATATCTTATCAGAAATTAAAAACTAAAAGGTAAACCGACCATGTTGACCAGTGCTGAAGCAGATACCCAACATGCAGTTCTGGCCTGAAAGTTAACCCAAGTATTCTTACCTTCACAAGTGTATTTTACATTAGACCAAATAATCTCTTCTTGAGAGAAGCAGTATAGTCCTAATCTTCCTCCTTGCAGGGTGCCATCATAAATGTTTCCAGAGTCCATGACCAGATTAGTACCCTGGTACAAGTAGAACCTAATGGTGCCAATATTAGGACGGTGGTGAAGTTGCCAGCGATATGCCACATTTGGGGTCCATCCAATGCTGCCATCATGCCAAAGCAGTGTTGCCTGAAACACAAGGCAAGGTCAATGTATTATCAAAGCCTAGCTATCTAGGGGTCAAATACAACCAAGTCTAGTGGGAGGCACCTTAGCTTACCTGATTTGGTGTGGAACCAGTAAGCCACAGGGCATCCCTAAGTGCTGAGCCAGGGCCTGTAGCAGAGTCTACCAGCTTTAAGGTAACGCCCCTCTCGGCCTGGTTAAACCAGTTCTGTGGTCCCTTTTTCCATGCCACAACATAGAACCTGGCATTGCTTTGGTACCTGCACAATAAAAAGTAGTGTTAAGACTTTTTTTGGGGGGGGGTTAATTGCTTATTCAGTATTACATGTAGTTGGACTTACCCAAATACAAAGCCAACAAAGTCATCATCACTAGTATCTTCAATGAAGAAAGTTCCATCAAAGTCGACATCAATCATTACATGGTCACCTAGAGAATATAGACAATTAGGGTTTGACAATTCAGGCAGACTATCCGTATGGCAAGTTAAACACCAATACATACCTATTGCTAGAGCTGGATCAGAATTCACAGTCTGGTGAATCTCTGCACCATCGTCGTAGACGACCCATACTGGAGGGGTGCTTACACTCTGTGGGTCTAGGGCTACCATTTGGAGTTGCCTAGAAAGTAATCCAGTAATCAAGCTATGGCATCAAATATAAGCTGGCATTGGTTATAAAATAAATTTCAGTTAGACCTCACTAAACTTATTTGCTTTTGAACCTTTACCACCATTACACTTAAATACACCAGCAGTGCAAAGTAAATGGTTTTTATAGCACTTGTCCAGAGGTGCAAGCTTTATGTGCAAGTTTTATTTTACATGTGCAGGGTGATGGAACCATAACATATGGTAAGCATTTAATATTAGACCATGCACTTTAGTAGCAGCAAGGGTACTTGCTATGTAGCAGCACCATGATGCATACTGAAGCAAAAGAAAATTGCTCCCTAGTTAATATTACTAATTCAGACCTTTTTATACACTTACCTGAAATCTGTAGCATGTACATTCGGATTTTTAATGCAATTGTCATCCACATCATTTATTTTGTCACCATCAAAGTCAATCGTGCAAGCATCACCACGGCCATCTCCATTACTGTCCATCTGGCCTGGATTCGGAATCATTAAGCAGTTGTCGGTAGTATCATCAACACCATCGTTATCACTGTCTGCATCACAGGCATCACCACTGCCATCACCATCTACATCCAGCTGGTTACTGTTTGCTACAGGTGGGCAGTTGTCTACATCGTCATCCACACCGTCCCTGTAAAGGCAGTAATCAAGGCATAAGGCCATGTCTGGAGGTTAATAAAGAGCATGGTTGAGTCAGGCTTTCCACCTTTTGAAAAAGGTCAACCCTTACCCATCCGAGTCGACATTGCTATCACAAGCATCACCTAGAAGGTCTTGATCTCCATCCTCCTGTCCAGGATTAGGATGCAAGGGACAGTTGTCACAAACATCTCCCAAACCATCACCATCAGCATCTGCCTGATTGCTATTAGCAATTAAGGGACAGTTGTCTGCTGCATTCAGGGATCCTGGTGTGAGGAGAATGTTAGTAGTTGCAATCAGGTTGTGCAATCCTAAAGGAGTCGCTATTCCATTTATACATACCATCGTTGTCGATATCATCGTCACATGCGTCGCCTACTTGGTCCCCATCAACATCCCTTTGGTTTGGGTTGGACACTGCAGGGCAGTTATCACAGACATCGCCTCGTCCATCCGAGTCTGCATCTTGTTGCTTAGGATTGGCTATTAGGGGACAGTTATCCTGAAAGGAATTATTCCAAGTTATTGCAGCTTATGATCTTTACCTATAGACAAGTTATCCCTCAGATTCAGCAGCTTCCCTTCATACCGAACCACTGTTGAATCCATCTCCGTCAGCATCCGAGTCACAAGCATCACCAAGGCCATCACCATCAGCATCTTCCTGCCCAGAATTTGGCCTATTGATGCAGTTATCCTTACGGCAGTACTTGCTTGAACATCCTAGTTCAGTGTCTGGGTAGCCGTCAAGGTCAGAGTCAGGGGCACAGTCACCACCGACGCCAGCAAAACCAACAGGGCACTGGGAGTAAAAATGCGAGCCAATGTTAATATCTGCACCATTTCTATGGTTGGACCCAGACCCTAGTTATGGTAAAGGCCATTTGCAACATGACACTTGCAACTTCAAGGATTGAATGAAGGTTAGCAAGTTAAGGACCCTTACAGGTCATTTTAAGCACTATCAAGTGTAGACAAGTCAAGTTCCGCCAATTTTATACTAGGAATCTAGGCTTTTGCAATATTATCAGTGCCTTTAAAAATTACGGTCTCTTATTGATCAAACTCTTATAGCCGTCTTCCCAATACACATGTTGCAAACTTCCCAGCTTAAATATCCAATTTACTGGATCCGACCACAGTGGGACTAGATTTACATGTATGCAACCATCAACAGGCAAGTTGATTTTAACCATGCACATCTTAGTGCAGTCGAAATTAATTACCAATTAAATTACAAAGGTTATTACCTGCAAGACATAGCAAGTTTCTCCATCACCAGTATATCCCGCAGGGCAGGGGCCACAGGTGTAGAAAGGTGCCATGCTTGTAAATGTACAAGTAACCCCACTAAAGCAAGGATTTTGCAAACATGGATCTGCAAAGAAAATTTTAGGAGTGCATATCAGGACTATCAAACTTTTATAGGAAATCTTAGCTGCCAGTTTTCCCATATTGCCTAGGTAAAAATCTGAACTGACCAGACTTACCAGTCTCTGGACAATGACCATCTGGGATCTCGCAATGTGCAAAGGGATAATCTGCGTACTCTTCCGTTGCCTCTACACACTTGCCTGTCCCAAAGCTTTCTTCACTCCACATGTATCCATGGGGACACTGATAGCGCAGTTGTACCATCTGGCCAAATTCCATGAAACATTCGAAGTAATGCTGCATGTTGAGGGGGTCTGGAAATCTCCCCTCCTGTTGGCACACGAATTTCAAGGTGCAAGGATCTTCACAGCTCTTGCTTCTCTCGTTGAACAATTGGTTTCCACTGCACATGAAGAACTTCTGCAGCCAGCCATGTCTCAAGGGAATGCACGAGTAGTATTCCCCACAGTTTTGGGTGTTTGCAAAGGTTCCAGATTTAACACATTCTGGGAAGCCAATTTGGTTCACACACTGGGCAGAGCCTTCATCAAACTTCTTTCCATCTGGACACTTGTAGCTTTGTGGCTGGGAGCCAACATTCTCACACGAGAAAAACCTCTGTGGGTCATAGGGATCAACACGGAACTCGTTTGGCCTCAAGCACATGCACTCGTCAGGTTCATCAGGGTAGCATACAGCGCCTCCAAAGCCAAACTTATCTGTACAATAAAAGTCCTCCGTGCACTGACGTACGAAAGCTTGTCCCTTTACACAGTGAACCAAAGTCTTACAGCTGGCGCACATGAAGCGGTTAGGCTCACTTTCACATATTTGCGAAAAAGGGTGGTATTCATTGGTAATGCTGCGTTCGTGACGTGAAGCACACTGGGGGTGGGGGTATACAACCATTAGAATCTGCTTTTGTATTAGTAGCAACAAGTTCCAATATAACCCAAACTTACCAATTCAGTAGAACAAGTCCTTGAAGTTGCATTGTAAGCAAATCCGTTGCAATTATCTTTGGTTACACTGAATCCACCATCTTTGATTATACATTCTATAAAGACACCACAGGTGCTGGTGTCAGGGAATCTCCCTTCACCAGGGCATTCATATCTGGAATATTTTTTTTTTTGTTTAGATTCCATTCTATAGGATATATCCTCAAGATTAATATACACTAGTTACTTACCCATATATGGCTCCGGGTGTCAACCCCAGGAAGATCTGAAATGTCATTTAGTGGTTAATTTTAAACTTCTTGCAGTTGCTGGCAATTGCTGTCCAAAGACTACCGATACACGTCCATAGTGGCATCTTATCAGATGTCTATTTAACAAGTGCCTTATACTTTTAGGATATGCGTTCATTTTAACATTTGAAAGTAATTTCAGTAATTAGTTTTAGTATACATCATTTCTATTAATTTATCAAAGTAACCACAAGACTATCACGAAACAGTGTTTTTTACATGTTAACCATTCAAGTCCAATTTTAAATTGTTACTATTCTCGCTCAAATGTCTTCGTTATAGGTTTCGAACGCTTATGAGAACACTACTTACAGTAAAAAGTGTGGAAAGAAACGCCATCTTAGAGAAGCGCCTGACGACTAGACGCATTTCCAGGGGTTATGTAAACAATGAAACAAGGAGAGAGAATTCTACTACCGCAGTAATTTCCATGCGTCGCTAGACTGCACTCCATCTATCAGTAATGCACATAAAGAAAACGAAGATCATTTTTTTTCATTGTCATTATTACTATTGTTATCGTTATTGTTGTTGTTATTATTATTATTATTATTACTGTAATTATGATTATTATTATCATTACTAGTATTACTGTTGTTATCTGTGTAAACACACACACACATGCATATATACCTATATATATATATATATATATATATATATATATATATATATATATATATATATATATATAAACAAATGTACAGATATATACATATATACACACACATATACGTATCTACATTTATATTTACATATATATGAATATACAAATACATATATAAACAGATATACATACATATGTATATATATATATATATATATATATATATATATATATATATATATATATATATATAATATCTATGTATACGCGCGCACACACACACATATATAATATATATATATATATATATATATATATATATATATATATATATATATATATATATATATATATATATATATATATATATATATATATTACACATACAGATGCATATATATTCATAAATGTGTATATATACATGTGGATATATTTATAACTATATCTATCTATATGTATATATTATATACATAGGGCTGAATTTATACAAAAATGAAGGGCATTTTTATCGTTTTCTCCGTTTTCTATGTGTCTGGATTATCCATAGATGGCGTGTATTGGAAAGCCACGCGGAAAAGTAAAAATGATTTCTCTGTCCTTGATTCAGTACCTACTAAAACCCCAGAAACGTGTCCATTCGTCATACCCTGAGGCAAAATGATTATTTTGTCCACCATATTGCCTGTAAGTCTTTTACTGATTGAAGGGGTTGATGTTTTAATTTAAGAGTGTCATTTTAATTTGAAGTGCCATCCAATCTGAAGTGCCATCCAATCTGTCAGTATTATTGATGCTAATAAAAAAAAGAAGTACTGGTCTAGTGTTTATCAGATTTTTCAATAATTGTGAGAATTTTTTAGGAAGTTGAGTACACGACTTGGTAAAATGACCCGCTCTACTCTCACCCACTAACCTTGTAGGGTAAATTTTAGTCCAAATAGCTTGAAGTTTCTAAATATGGGCACGTATAATCCTCCCCCCCCCCCCCCTTACGGTATCGATAATATCCTACCCCCCGATCGGCGTACACTGGGTCTCTAATCCCCTCCCCCCTCTCTTAACCGCTTTGCTCCCCCTCGGCAAATGCTTTCAGCCTCGCTGAATATTTACACTAAATATTTACTCCCCAAAGGAATTTGCGGTGTGAAGTTTCCACGAGCCCTTGTGGCATTAGCGGCTGTCTGCAGCGTAGATAGGTATATTTCTGAGTTTACCCCAGCATAAGCTTTATCGTAAAGCCGATTGTCCTTGTATATTACATAGTTTAGATGTACGTGTCTAGATGTGATCGATAGCTTTTAAAGTTTGGTTGTATCGACCACGGGCTAAAGCTGTACAATTTAGCTATGCATATAGGGTTAATGTTGAGTAATGCAGAGGGAGAATTTTATCAGTTATTTTTACAAAAAAGGTAACCTAGTTATACCTTATCCTACCTCGGACTTGCCGCGAAACCGCTAATGCCTTGCACGGCCTGTTATTAATGGCAGATTTCTAAACTATGTAAAATGTGCGCCCCGCTCGGTAAAAAAAACTAACTTACCACTAATCGGTAGCAGGTTTCTCCTTTCGTTAAAGTTGTTTGTCTGGAAGGCAGAGTTTTGGGACACTGCTCCATGGCTCCTTCGCCACCAAAGCCCCACAGTATTGATGTATTGGAAGCCTCTGCTGAGGCCCATGGATGTTGAAGTGCCAAGCTTTTAATTAAACCTAATGACATGTTCGTATCACCCAGATCTTGGGGGTTAAGACCCCTACTTTGAAAGGGAAGCATAAACCCACTCCATGACCTTTTTTACTAGCCACTCTATGGCTACTTGAGGCGAGAGCCCTACATAGATGAGGAACCCTTAAGGATGACACCCCCCCCCCACTCCCTGCTTAACATGATGGACCCCAAACCTTGTTAGGGGCATTGCCTTTCCTCTATGAAATGGTGCCCATTTTTCAGATGGCACCACCCTTGGCTTGCCAGAGTTCGCTCTGAACACCATGGGTATTTAAGACGGAACTGCTAGTTTTGCTAGCTGCAGTAATGACCCGCTTCTAGTCTTCATTTCTTTCCACACCCTTTGTTTATTGTCGGTCCTCCCTGTTTCCTGTACCTCACTCCCTCTTGTGTTCATGTTACCATTTCTTTAGCTTTTTCTAAAGGCTCCCGCAAAATCCCTCCCCACAGCCCCTTGAGGCCTGGCTACACAAAGGTTATCTACTGATCATGCTTCAAGCTGACTGCACAAGAGCACTGAAAGCTACTTGTTTACTAAACTTTCTGCAACAGTTTACCTACTGATTGTACCTGATTGTGTGGATGGACCACTAATCTGACCATACCCACTTCCAAACCTCTCGAAATGCAAAGTTTCCCTCTGCAGCTGTCCTGTTTGCCAGGCCTCTGGTATTATATTGCCTGCCTCCTTTAATGACTTTATGAACTATTGGTGTTAATACCAATTCTACCGACTTTGAGTAACCTGGCCCACCTTTTTATTCTTAGTGATTACTTAACCTGGGATTTTAATAAATGATTACCTTTAAAGGTCAACACTTCCTAACTGTATGAAGGTCTGGATCTTAACAATTATCAAGATTGTAATTGGAAAACAGCTTTACTAATTGCTTAAAATTGTAATGACTATATCTACTACTAGACTTTCAGTGATTTTACGAACAAATTTAAGATTTTCCATGTCTTTTCATGTTCACTCCTTTACTTGATCAGAAGTTCTGTGACCTGATTTACTACCAATAGGTATCGTGGGAATTAGGGCAGCACTAAGTTTACCATTAACATTTTCTCAGGAGAACTGCTTAATCATGTGAAATTTTCATTAAGGTTGCATTCGAAGGCAAATAAGAGTTGAGACTTTAATGCCAGTAATCTTTTTTTGTCGGGTGCAATGAGGTACTTTAATCGGTAGATGCCTTTATTAATCTTCACCACTTTTACCCGACTCTTAAATTATAGCTCGTGTGTAATAACACCTACAAGTATGTATAAATACAAATGTACGCGTATACACTCGTGCATAAATTAGTATAAATTGCACAAATGTCTCCTGCTTTTACTCGGTACTCTAATCAAATGAGTCCATTTCTTTATTGGTATTATGCACAATTTTAATTCTCTACTCATTAGGTTATCCCTTACTTCCATAGTATACAAGAGTGTTAAAGTGCCTATATACTGACATGTTATTGAAGATCTTTTTTTATCTAGATAAAGATAGTCTTGGTGATAAGTCAAGAACTTTCATTAAAAATTAGTTCGATGTCATAATTTTTCTAATTCTTGACACTAAATCAGAATAATATTAGGCCCATAGTGTCTGCTCTACCGTCGCGGATCGCCTAAGGTTACCCTTATTTACATGAGCCATATTTACTATGCCTCCTCAGTGTGTTGCTCTTGCACATTAATATTTATCCAAAGAAAAGCCACAGCTAGCCTCTTAAAGATAAATGAGGCTGATATTAAGAGGGTCGCCCGACGACCGTGAAGAGGGGTTTCGGGCGCCCGCAAAGGCGGTTTCTAGCACCGAGGCAGTAAACCTCGAAAGTGTTTTGAAAATGCGCTCGTTGCTAGAAGCTAGAGTAGCTGGATTTACCATGTAAACAAAACGTGTATTAAGTGTGCGTTAGTAAATCCGGGCCCTAGAATGATGGGTAAAGTTGCTTGAAATTTAAATTAGCTTGATTGTGGCATTTTCTTTCAATGGCAAAATTCTTTGTTAAAGAGTCTTGCAATAAAACTAAGTGGGTTTTTTCTATTACTACAGATACTCGCAGGGCTGACGGTGGTCTTGGCCACAGATGGGTAAGTAGCTGTACTTTAAATGCAGTGTTGTACATGCATATCAGAAATACAAATTTTAATGGGAACCCCTACTTAGGAACGACTGCCCAGGAGAAGGAAGATTCCCTGATCCTAATACCTGCAGTGGCTTTATTGACTGTATACCAACACAAACTGGTTACAGTGTGACCAAAGACGACTGCAAGGGATTCGTGTACAATGCAACATCTAAGACCTGCACAACTCTCTTGGTATGAATAAGATTGAGTAAAGTGACAATTTATTAGAGGAACTTGTTCCTAAGTGATATAGAACTAATGTTTTTTTTCCCCCCTTCAACAGTGTGGTTCACGACAAAAACGAAGTGTTACCAATGACCATCATTCCTACTCGCATCTGTGTGAAAAACAACCTGACAGTTTCATGTGTGCAGACTGCAAGACCTTAGTGGTTTGTGTACTGGGACAAGCCTTCGTTCGCCACTGCCTTGAAGATCATTACTGTTCTCAAAAGAACGCATTTGGAGGGGGTGTATGCTACCCTGATGAACCTGCAGAGTGTACTTGCGAAAATGCAGACGAGTTTCGTGTAGATCCCTATGACCCACAAAAGTTCTTCTTTTGTGAGAATGTTGGCTCTAAACCAGAAAGTCACAAGTGCCCTGATGGGCAGAAATTAGATAGCAATTCTGGTCTGTGCAAGGCTGATACAGGATTTCCATCGTGTACCCAGTCTGGAACCTTTGCAAACACCCAAAACTGTGGGGAATACTACTCGTGCATTCCCTTGAGACATGGCTGGGTGCAAAAGTTCTTCATGTGCAACGGAAATCACTTGTTTAATGAGAGAACCAAAACTTGTGAAGATCCCTGTTCCTTGGTATTTGTGTGTCGGCAGGAAGGAAGATTTACAGACCCCCTTAACATGCAGCATTACTTTGAATGCTTCATGGAACTAGGCCAAATG